TTCTTATAACAGCACATTTTTATTAATAACTTATTTAAGAGAATTTTTTATTAATTAATAGTTATTTCATTTACATTGACAACTGTATTCATTGTTTGAAAGTGAATATAAAAGAATAACTTATTGTATTCCCATAAACAATGCTCATAGAGTGAATGTAAATAAATGAGATTACAGGATAGGTTTCACATTTCAAACCATATTCATGGTGAAAAGTATTTATAAAACTTTCAATTAAATATATTTTATTATTTATAATTGACACGTGTTTTAAATAAAGTTTTACTATTTTATGTTGTAAATGCATTTTTATGCACAATAATGTAATAATTTAATCATAATGCCAATACTTGGATCATATATCCGTAATTTGAAGACCGTTAGGCCAAAACCTTTAAACTCTTTATCTAAAACTAAATAACTTTTATTACTATCTAACCCACTGTGCATTCTCTTTTCCAAAGTAACAATGATAACCAAAAAACAGTTTCGAATATATCCAGAAATACACACATTTCTATTCGTGCATCATTAAACATGATGAGCATTTTGTATTTCTTATCTTATTTCTTTTGTCGAAAATAAAGAAACATGTCAAAACAAAAAATAAACTTAAACATGTTGTAGAACACTTTTGTAGACAAGCAAATGTCATTAGTAAATTACTTAAGAAAATTAAGCAGAATTTTAACAAAAAATCGATAAAATTTTGAAAAGAAACAATTGAATCTCTTGAAGAAAGTGCTACTTTTATTGCTAAGAATTTTTGTTCTTCATTGTTGCTGTGATTCCCGCAAGAGAAGTTTCACATTGATGAAATATTTGAAGAAAAACTGTATTCTAAAACATACTTACTATACGTTATTATATCAAATTACAGATTAAAATAAAGTTTTTACTATAGACTAGACTATAGACTAGATTAGACTAGACTATAGACTAGACTATAGACTAGACTATAGACTAGACTAGACTAGACTATAGACTAGACTAGACTACACTATAGACTAGACTATAGACTAGACTATAGACTACACTATAGACTAGACTATAGACTACACTATAGACTAGACTATAGACTACACTATAGACTAGACTATAGACTAGACTATAGACTAGACTATAGACTAGACTATAGACTAGACTATAGACTAGACTATAGACAAGACTATAGACTAGACTACAGACTAGGCTATAGACTAGACTATAGACTAGACTATAGACTAGACTATAGACTAGACTATAGACTAGACTATAGACTAGACTATAGACTAGACTATAGACTAGACTATAGACTAGACTATAGACCAGACTATAGACCAGACTATAGACTAGACTATAGACTAGACTATAGACTAGACTATAGACTAGGCTATAGACTAGACTATAGACTAGACTATAGACTAGACTATAGACTAGACTATAGACTAGACTATAGACTAGACTATAGACCAGACTATAGACCAGACTATAGACTAGACTATAGACTAGACTATAGACTAGACTATAGACTAGACTATAGACTAGACTATAGACTAGACTATAGACTAGACTATAGACTATAGACTAGACTATAGACTAGACTATAGACTAGACTATAGACAAGACTATAGACTAGACTATAGACTAGACTATACGACTAGACTAGACTATAGACTAGACTATAGACTAGACTATAGACTAGACTATAGACTAGACTATAGACTAGACTATAGACTAGACTATAGACTAGACTATAGACTAGACTATAGACTAGACTATAGACTAGACTATAGACTAGACTATAGACTAGACTAGACTAGACTATAGACTAGACTATAGACTAGACTATAGACTAGACTATAGACTAGACTATAGACTAGACTATAGACTAGACTATAGACTAGACTATAGACTAGGCTATAGACTAGACTATAGACTAGACTATAGACTAGACTATAGACTAGACTATAGACTAGACTATAGACTAGACTATAGACTAGACTATAGACTAGACTATAGACTAGACTATAGACTATAGACTAGACTATAGACTATAGACTAGACTATAGACTAGACTATAGACTAGACTATAGACTAGACTATAGACTAGACTATAGACTAGACTATAGACTAGACTATAGACTAGACTATAGACTAGACTATAGACTAGACTATAGACTAGACTATAGACTAGACTATAGACTAGACTATAGACTAGACTATAGACTAGACTATAGACTAGACTATAGACTAGACTATAGACTAGACTATAGACTAGACTATAGACTAGACTATAGACTAGACTATAGACTAGACTATAGACTAGACTATAGACTAGACTATAGACTAGACTATAGACTAGACTATAGACTAGACTATAGACTAGACTATAGACTAGACTATAGACGACTATAGACTAGACTATAGACTAGACTATAGACTAGACTATAGACTAGACTATAGACTAGACTATAGACTAGACTATAGACTAGACTACAGACTAGACTATAGACTAGACTATAGACTAGACTATAGACTAGACTATAGACTAGACTATAGACTAGACTATAGACTAGACTATAGACTAGACTATAGACTAGACTATAGACTAGACTATAGACTAGACTATAGACTAGACTATAGACTAGACTATAGACTAGACTATAGACTAGACTATAGACTAGACTATATACTAGACTATAGACTAGACTATAGACTAGACTATAGACTAGACTATAGACTAGACTATAGACTAGACTATAGACTAGACTATAGACTAGACTATAGACTAGACTATAGACTAGACTAGACTAGTTTTGATTATAGACTATACTTTAGGTCTGATTATAGATTAGACTATTGTCCAGAATATGCCTGGTTATAATATTGGCTATAGGCCAGACAATATTCTAAAGCATAGTGTAGACTATAAGCTGAGCTATAGCATTACAACAGACTAGACTGCCCTTCAGACTATAGACTGGACTTTAGTCCACATACACTATAGATTATATGTTAGTCTATTTGATAGATTAGACTAGACAATGGTGCAAATTATTAACCGCACTATAATCCATACAATATACTACAGATTAAAATAAAGTTTTATTTACACTTTTTTATGTTTAATATTTATTTAACTAAAATACTTACAAAATACTTAGCAGGATGAGATGAGATTAAAAAAAATCAGAGCTTAAAGGAATGGCTTTTCAACTTAAACCAGTCAACATTGCAAAATTCTCAAATCCTATCAGATCGCAGGTGCTGCAACTCAATTTATTCGATTTTAAATTAAAAACTAAAATTGAAAATTTAATTATAATAATTAAAATCCTTTAAAGCTCTGTTTTTCAATGTTAAAATCAATGACACGCTCGATAAAATGAGTGAGAAGTTTTCTTTCTTAACAAAAAAAAAAACTCATTGACTAATGCGTATTGCCATAACACTTGGCATGTGTCATATGGACGCACGTGCGCCTCTCAATATCCCAACCATAATAGAATGGACATTGCTGTAGTGTTTGATAGCCCTTGATGCAATAAAAGAAATAATTGCACTTTTGTGGATGAGGAAAGAAATCGGTGACATGTGGCAGACATTTATTTGTAGGCGAAGGCGGTTGATTGTTAATCTGTGAAATAAAATTTAATAATTTAATTTAAGAGTACAAGATAGAGATAGAAAATGCAGGGATATGTATATATATTTAAATATACTAGGATCACCTTGAAATTTTTACAATAACTCCTAAAGAAATAGATACACTGCTGGTAAATTGAGAGATTAACTACTGACGTATCAGCTCTAGATTTTGGAAGTACTTTTAGCAGAAGATTTTCTCAAAGAGAACTATTTTGGATTCTTAAATAGCATTTGTGGGACTAGTGATAACGTCATTGCTTATATAATCCATTCTTTGTAACACTATTGCAGTATGGTACGCCTATAGATCTATTCTTAAATGAATCTATAAGCTATATTACATGTTGATCGAACTCCCCTTTTTAAGCCCACTTTCTGTTGAACAATTTTAAAAACATTATAACACGATATCTTGAAAACCTCATGTAATAGAGCAATTCTGAGCCCAGATTTTGATTTAGTAAAGTAAAGCCTGTGCTATTTTTTCTGATCCTACATATAGTATATCGAATAAGACTCTTCCCAATATTATTTCAATTTACCTTGCAATTTGAATTTTCTGGAAAATCACATTTTCCCGTTAGCGTATTAAAGTGTAAATGATCGGTGCAGTGCATTTCAATGCGATGACCATGATAGCAAACATAATAATCGGAGCATGTATTACTACTGGATATATAAACAATTTGATTGGGATCATCGGTGGCGGGACAAGTATCCTTAACAACTGGTGGTATATCTAAAATTTCAGCTGGAGTCGTGGCCATTGTAATAGGTGGCACTGTAGTAGTAGCTACGGTAGTGGGAGCAGCTGTTGTTACAACAGGTTCTTCAGGTTCTTCTTCACCATCGCCATCACCATCACCTTCTCCATCTTCTCCCTCGTTATTATCCAAAGGACAAACAACATTTTCTTTAGCATCACATGATTCACTTTCACTATCGAAATACTCTCCTTCATCACATTCATACAACTCCGAATCGTCTCCATTACAAAGTATATAAGCCGAACAACTTTCCGAACTGGCAACATATGTATCCGGATCTACATCTTCACATTCATCAAATGTATCTGCATTTATGTGGTTTATTAAACAACCTATGACAACAGTGATAAACACAAACACTTTCATTTTTCTAAAAATTTGTCGTAATTTTTATTTTGAATTTTCAATTTAACCGTTTGTTTCTTAATTGCAAGACTTTTTATTAACAAATAATTTATTTGTTTTGTTCTTTAAAGATTTTATAGATTTTTGTTATCTATTTTCGTCTTGTCGGGGGAATCATTTTATATGTATAATTGATAAAATTTCAAAAAAAAAAGAAGTTATCTTTCATTGGAAAACGGAAGGCACTTCCAAACAAATGTTGCCTAAATATTTTTTCCTGCTATTAGTATTACAAGATAAATTTAGTTTTTCAGTTTGTCTTCATTTAAAGATATGTACTGTTGTCATATGTAGTATAAATATTGTGATTCATAATTATCGAACATTCACTTTCGAAATTTTATACGTCAAGGTCTTGCTTGTACAATCTAATGTTTGTTATTGCAAAATATTTATTATTAATTGTACTAAAATATTTTATGTATAAGTTGTTATGATGAAAGGAAATATCATTAATAGTGCAATTAATTTGGAAATTGTACATGCTGTCGAAGAATTTTCTTCAATTAACATTTCTCACAAATAATAAATACAAGAAAGGTCAGCTTCATGATTAAAAACCAAGAGTATCTTGTAAATCAATTAAGATTCACACTCCTGACATAATAATGCTATGGTCTGGTCAGACCATCGCAAAAACCCACTAACAAATCAACTGATTCAACTAAATAGATCATTGGCACAACATGATAACGCTTAGTCAGTTAATTAGTCTAATAGACACTATTATAGTCTGGTCTCTAGACTGGACTATAGTCTGGACTAAAGACTGACCTATAATCTGGACTATAGACTGAGCTATAATCCGGACTTTAGACTGACCTATAGTCTGAACTATAGTCAATAAAATGGACTGTAATCTGTAATTAGTTAGTTAGTTAGTTAGTTAGTTTTTAGTTAGTTAGTTAGTTAGTTAGTTAGTTAGTTAGTTAGTTAGTTAGTTAGTTAGTTAGTTAGTTAGTAGTTAGTTAGTTAGTTAGTTAGTTAGTTAGTTAGTAGTTAGTTAGTTAGTTAGTTAGTTAGTTAGTTAGTTAGTTAGTTAGTTAGTTAGTTAGTTAGTTAGTTCGTTAGTTAGTTAGTTAGTAGTTAGTTAGTTAGTAGTTAGTTAGTCGTTAGTTAGTTAGTTAGTTAGTAGTTAGTTAGTAGTTAGTTAGTTAGTTAGTAGTTAGTTAGTTAGTTAGTTAGTAGTTAGTTAGTTAGTTAGTTAGTTAGTTAGTTAGTTAGTTAGTTAGTTAGTTGTTAGTTAGTTAGGTAGTAGTTAGTTAGTTAGTTAGTTAGTTAGGTAGTTAGTTAGTTAGTTAGTTAGTTAGTTAGTTAGTTAGTAGTTAGTTAGTTAGTTAGTTAGTAGTTAGTTAGTTAGTTAGTAGTTAGTTAGTTAGTTAGTTAGTTAGTTAGTTAGTTAGTTAGTTAGTTAGTTAGTAGTTAGTTAGTTAGTAGTTAGTTAGTTAGTTAGTTAGTTAGTAGTTAGTTAGTTAGTTAGTAGTTAGTTAGTTAGTTAGTAGTTAGTTAGTTAGTTAGTTAGTTAGTTAGTAGTTAGTTAGTTAGGTAGTTAGTTAGTTAGTTAGTTAGTTAGTTAGTAGTTAGTTAGTTAGTTAGTTAGTTAGTTCGTTGTAGTTAGTTAGTAGTTAGATAGTTAGTTAGTTCGTTAGTTAGTTCGTTAGTTAGGTAGTTAGTTAGTTAGTTAGTTGTAGTTAGTTAGTTAGTTAGTTAGTTAGTTAGTAGTTAGTTAGTTAGTTTAGTTAGTTAGTAGTTAGTTAGTTAGTTAGTTGTTAGTTAGTTAGTAGTTAGTTCGTAGTTAGTTAGTTAGTTAGTTAGTTAGTAGTTGTAGTTAGTTAGTTAGTTAGTTAGTTAGTTAGTAGTTAGTAGTTAGTTAGTTAGTTCTTAGTTAGTTAGTTAGTTAGTTAGTTAGTTAGTTAGTTAGTTAGTTAGTTAGTTAGTTAGTTAGTTAGTAGTTAGTTAGTTAGTAGTTAGTTAGTTAGTTAGTTAGTTAGTTAGTTAGTTAGTTAGTAGTTAGTTAGTTAGTTAGTTAGTTAGTTAGTAGTTAGTTAGTTAGTTAGTTCGTTAGTTAGTTAGTAGTTAGTTAGTAGTTAGTTAGTTAGTTAGTTAGTTAGTTAGTTAGTAGTTAGTTAGTTAGTTTAGTTAGTAGTTAGTTAGTTAGTTAGTAGTAGTTAGTTAGTTAGTTAGTTAGTTAGTTAGTTAGTTAGTTAGTAGTTAGTTAGTTAGTTAGTTAGTTAGTTAGTTAGTTAGTTAGTTAGTTAGTTAGTTAGTTAGTTAGTAGTTAGTTAGTTAGTTAGTTAGTTAGTTAGTTAGTTAGTTAGTTAGTTAGTTAGTTAGTTAGTTAGTTAGTTAGTTAGTTAGTTAGTTAGTTAGTTAGTTAGTTAGTTAGTTAGTTAGTAGTTAGTTAGTAGTAGTTAGTTAGTTAGTTAGTTAGTTAGTTAGTAGTTAGTTAGTTAGTTAGTTGTTAGTTAGTTAGTTAGTTAGTTAGTAGTTAGTTAGTTAGTTAGTTAGTTAGTTAGTTAGTTAGTTAGTTAGTAGTTAGTTAGTTAGTTAGTTAGTAGTTAGTAGTTAGTAGTTAGTTAGTTAGTTAGTAGTTTAGTTAGTTAGTAGTTAGTTAGTTAGTTAGTTAGTTAGTTAGTAGTTAGTTAGTAGTAGTTAGTTAGTTAGTTAGTAGTTAGTTAGTTAGTAGTTAGTTAGTTAGTTAGTTGTTAGTTAGTTAGTTAGTTAGTAGTTAGTTAGTAGTTAGTAGTTAGTTAGTTAGTAGTTAGTTAGTTAGTTAGTTAGTTAGTTAGTTAGTTAGTTAGTTAGTTAGTTAGTTAGTGTTAGTTAGTAGTTAGTTAGTTAGTTAGTTAGTTAGTAGTTAGTAGTTAGTTAGTTAGTTAGTTAGTTAGTTAGTAGTTAGTTAGTTAGTTAGTTAGTAGTTAGTTAGTTAGTTAGTTAGTTAGTTGTAGTAGTTAGTTAGTTAGTTAGTTAGTTAGTAGTTAGTTAGTTAGTTAGTTAGTTAGTTAGTTAGTTAGTAGTTGTTAGTTAGTTAGTTAGTTAGTTAGTTAGTTAGTTAGTTAGTTAGTTAGTTGTAGTTAGTTAGTTAGTTAGTTAGTTAGTTAGTTAGTTAGTGTAGTTAGTTAGTTAGTTAGTTAGTTAGTTAGTTAGTTAGTTAGTTAGTTAGTTAGTGTAGTTAGTTAGTTAGTTAGTTAGTTAGTTAGTTAGTTAGTTAGTTAGTTAGTTAGTTAGTTAGTTAGTTAGTTAGTTAGTTAGTAGTTAGTTAGTAGTTAGTTAGTTAGTTAGTTAGTTAGTTAGTTAGTTAGTAGTTAGTTAGTAGTTAGTTAGTTAGTTAGGTTAGTTAGTTAGTTAGTTAGTAGTAGTTAGTTAGTTAGTTAGTTAGTTAGTTAGTTAGTTAGGTAGTTAGTTAGTTAGTTAGTTAGTTAGTTAGTTGATTAGTTAGTTAGTAGTTTAGTTAGTTAGTTAGTTAGTTGTAGTTAGTTAGTTAGTTAGTTAGTTAGTTAGTTAGTTAGTTAGTTAGTTAGTAGTTAGTTAGTTAGTTAGCTAGTTAGTTAGTTAGTTAGTTAGTTAGTTAGTTAGTTAGTAGTAGTTAGTTAGTTAGTTAGTTAGTTAGTTAGTTAGTAGTAGTAGTTAGTTAGTTAGTTAGTATTAGTTAGTTAGTTAGTTAGTTAGTTAGTTAGTAGTTTAGTTAGTTAGTTAGTTAGTTAGTTAGTTAGTTAGTAGTTTAGTTAGTTAGTAGTTAGTTAGTTAGTTAGTTAGTTAGTTAGTTAGTTAGTTAGTTAGTAGTTAGTTAGTTAGTTAGTTAGTTAGTTAGTTAGTTAGTAGTTAGTTAGTTAGTTAGTTAGTTAGTTAGTTAGTTAGTTAGTAGTTAGTTGTAGTTAGTTAGTTAGTTAGTTAGTTTAGTTAGTTAGTTAGTTAGTTAGTTAGTTAGTTAGTAGTTAGTTAGTTAGTAGTTAGTTAGTTAGTTAGTTTAGTTAGTTAGTTAGTTAGTTAGTTAGTTAGTTAGTTAGTTAGTTAGTTAGTTAGTTAGTTAGTTAGTTAGTTAGTAGTAGTTAGTTAGTTAGTAGTTAGTTAGTTAGTTAGTTAGTTAGTTAGTTAGTTAGTAGTTAGTTAGTTAGTTAGTTAGTTAGTTAGTTAGTTAGTAGTTAGTTAGTAGTTAGTTAGTTAGTTAGTTAGTAGTAGTTAGTTAGTTAGTAGTTAGTTAGTAGTAGTTAGTTAGTTAGTTAGTTAGTAGTTAGTAGTTAGTTAGTTAGTTAGTTAGTTAGTTAGTTAGTTAGTTAGTTAGTTGTTAGTTAGTAGTAGTTAGTTAGTTAGTTAGTTAGTTAGTTAGTTTAGTTAGTTAGTTAGGTAGTTTAGTTAGTTAGTCAGTTAGTAGTTAGTTAGTTAGTTAGTTAGTTAGTTAGTTAGTTAGTTAGTTAGTTAGTTAGTTAGTAGTTAGTTAGTTAGTTAGTTAGTTAGTTAGTTAGTTAGTTTAGTTAGTTAGTTAGTTAGTTAGTTAGTTAGTTAGTTAGTTAGTAGTTAGTTAGTTAGTTAGTTAGTTAGTTAGTTAGTTAGTTAGTTAGTTAGTTAGTTAGTTAGTTAGTTAGTTAGTTAGTTAGTAGTTAGTTAGTTAGTTAGTTAGTTAGTTAGTTAGTTAGTTAGTTAGTTAGTTAGTTAGTTAGTTAGTAGTTAGTTAGTTAGTTAGTTAGTTAGTAGTTAGTTAGTTAGTTAGTAGTAGTTAGTAGTTAGTTAGTTAGTTAGTTAGTTAGTTAGTTAGTTAGTTAGTTAGTTAGTAGTTAGTTAGTTAGTAGTAGTTAGTTAGTTAGAGCATTCAAACCAACTCCACCAAATTTCATAAAGAAGCATTCCATTGTTGCACCACATTTCGCTTCGATTTTACCACAACATACAGCCGTTTGCAACACTTGTATTTGTCATTTATTTTGGTTTTATTAACAGTTTTTTAACTAATACCAAAGCCTCTTTATAGTGAGTAAAAAATAATTACTCTGACCTGATTTTTACAAAAGGATTATTTATAACATTAATCCTCATCATATACACGTGAATAACACTGTAAACGTTTCAATTCATATTTTTTTTATAATTATAAATAAGAAAGAGAAAATACATATTTTTTATTAATTATATTATGGCATTAATATTTATATAATTATTTACAAGAATTTAAAACAATTCCAATTAAAAGTACCACACTTAACCAGTACAATTCTAAACGTAGCATTCACTCAATAATCCAACATTATTTATTCATTCATTCGCTAAAGATGAGTTTCCGCAGCATCTTCTTCGGGAATGGGCGATATTATTGAACAGTGATGTGATGATGTTAGTGTTAGGAAGCGTGTTGTGGATGGTTGATAATGCGGATGATGATTCAATTGACATGTTTTCATTAAAATCGGTTTCTCTGTGACAGCAACAGTGTCGTTAAATTTATAGCCAGCAGCATCTGATGTCACAACAGTGGTGCACTGTATGAAATAAAATGATAAATTTGTTTTGGTTTTTTTTTTCAGTAATTTTTTGGTTTTCTGTCAAAAATTTATCTTAATTTTAGTTTAATAAATCTAGTTTATTAACAACTAGACATTTATTACGATTATTACTAACATTCGTCTGTGGTATTGTACGATTTGCAACAATATCTTTGTATTCCTGATACTGCGATATGACACAGAGTAAACAATAGGACTGTAAATAAATTATAAATCATAAATCAATTTTAATTTATTATTTTTATTGTTAATGTTTTGTATTTGTATTTGTTTTGTATTATTTGTGTATTTACTATGTATGTATTTACTTTTACTTACATTTAAACAAACAATAAATAAATCTATGGTAAATATAAAACCAACCACAGGATCAAAATTTGCTCTTTTACTGAAAATAAAATAAATGGCATAGAATAGTTCCACACAGACATCACCAATCATTAGCAGTATCCAGGGCAATAGATATTCTCGATTATGCTGTAATGGAGATAAAGTTGATAAAATTGATTAGGTATTATGAACTTCATATTTGAACTATCAAAAAGTAGGTACCGTGGCCTAAAGTTTGAAAAAAAAAATTGGCCAATACCTTACCAAATATAAATACAGTTTTTAAACAATTTAATGAACCACTTTGTACATGATGAGTATTTTATTGTGTTTACTGATTGGATTAGTATGGTGTTACCGATATGAAGATTAAATTTGCAATTTTAATATTTGATTACACACAAAAATAAACATTTAAACAAAAACATTTTATGGAAAATTTATAACAAAAGTATTTATTAAAAGAACTATAAATATAGATTTGTTCATATCAATTTTAGGAATTTCTAAAAATATACATTTGTATTCATATTTTTATACCCTACAACTATAGTGGGGAGGGTATTACATCCACCATGAAGTTTACTAATGGACTCAGAATCATATTCTGTTGTTGACCTAAATTAACATATAAGGCCTCTTTTTGATATTGGGTATAAAAAGTTCGTAATAACACTTTTCTTTATTTTGTTAAAAATTTGTTAAGTTAAAAATAGTTAAAAATTAAAAAATCTACCCAGTAGGGTTTTGGTAGTGCAAAGGTTAAGATAAATACTTGTTTACATTTACATATGTATATGACTTTTTGTTGTTGTTGGAATAAAAAAGGATAATACGGTTGTTTATTTTTATTTCAACAATTTACACTCCATTTGTATGTCCCTCTTAACATGCCTCAAACCTATGCTTAGGGCAAAATAAAAATGTGAAGAAGTTATGTATCTTTTTTAAGAGAAATACTGTGTCTACATATGTATGAATAGTGACATAAAATCAAATAAAAACAATTAAGAGTTGTATAGTCGGCCGTGTCGAATCTTATATACCCTTCACCAAAACGTCAGTACGTATTTTATTACAAAAAAAAAAAAAAAGTACCAGTTGGAAAACGAATCCTTTCATAGATTTCAATGTTTGATTTAATGTTTCTGGATTCTATAATATATAAAGTACATTTGAAGAGCGCAGAAGTACCTAAAAGTTTCCTTTTATAGGTTCTCACCTACTCCGGTCTCTCCACACTTAACTTCTTGTTTCTTGGGTCTATAATAAACTAACTAACTAACTAACTAACTAACTAACTAACTAACTAACTAACTAACTAACTAACTAACTAACTAACTAACTAACTAACTAACTACTAACTAACTAACTAACTAACTAACTAACTAACTAACTAACTAACTAACTAACTAACTAACTAACTAACTAACTAACTAACTACTACTAACTAACTAAACTAACTAACTAACTAACTAACTAACTAACTAACTACTAACTAACTAACTAACTAACTAACTAACTACTAACTAACTAACTAACTAACTACTAACTAACTAACTCTAACTAACTAACTAACTAACTAACTAACTAACTAACTAACTAACTAACTAACTAACTAACTAACTAACTAACTAACTAACTACTACTAACTAACTAACTAACTAACTAACTAACTAACTAACTAACTAACTAACTAACTAACTAACTAACTAACTAAACTAACTAACTAACTAACTACCTAACTAACTAACTAACTAACTACTACTAACTAACTAACTAACTAACTAACTAACTAACTAACTAACTAACTAACTAACTAACTAACTAACTAACTAACTAACTAACTACTAACTAACTACTAACTAACTAACTAACTAACTAACTAACTACTAACTAACTAACTAACTAACTAACTAACTAACTAACTACTAACTAACTAACTAACTAACTAACTAACTAAACTACTAACTAACTAACTAACTAACTAACTAACTAACTAACTAACTAACTAACTAACTAACTAACTAACTAACTAACTAACTAACTAACTAACTAACTAACTAACTAACTAACTAACTAACTAACTACTAACTAACTAACTAACTAACTAACTAACTAACTAACTAACTAACTAACTAACTAACTAACTAACTAACTAACTAACTACTAACTACTAACTAACTAACTAACTAACTAACTAACTAACTAACTAACTAACTAACTAACTCACTAACTAACTAACTAACTAACTAACTACTAACTAACTAACTAACTAACTAACTAACTAACTAACTAACTAACTAACTAACTAACTAACTAACTAACTAACTAACTAACTAACTAACTAACTAACTAACTACTAACTAACTAACTAACTAACTAACAACTAACTAACTACTAACTAACTAACTAACTAACTAACTAACTAACTAACTAACTAACTAACTAACTAACTAACTACTAACTACTAACTAACTAACTACTAACTAACTAACTAACTAACTAACTAACTAACTAACTACTAACTACTAACTAACTAACACTAACTAACTAACTAACTAACTAACTAACTAACTAACTAACTACTAACTAACTAACTAACTAACTACTAACTAACTAACTAACTACTACTACTAACTAACTAACTAACTACCTACTAACTAACTAACTAACTAACTACTAACTAACTAACTAACTAACTAACTAACTAACTACTAACTAACTAACTAACTAACTAACTACTAACTAACTAACTAACTAACTAACTAACTAACTAACTAACTACTAACTAACTAACTAACTAACTAACTAACTACTAACTAACTACTCTAACTAACTAACTAACTACCTAACTAACTAACTAACTAACTACTAACTAACTACTAACTAACTAACTAACTAACTACTAACTAACTAACTACTAACTAACTAACTAACTACTAACTAACTACTAACTAACTACTAACTAACTAACTAACTAACTAACTAACTAACTAACTAACTAACTAACTAACTACTAACTAACTACCTAACTAACTAACTAACTAACTACTAACTAACTACTAACTAACTAACTACTAACTAACTAACTACTAACTACTAACTAACTAACTAACTAACTAACTTAACTAACTAACTACCTAACTAACTAACTACTAACTAACTAACTAACTAACTAACTAACTAACTAACTAACTAAGTAGCTAACTAAGTAACTAACTAAGTAACTAACTAACTAACTAACTAACTACTAACTAACTAACTAACTAACTAACTAACTAACTAACTAACTAACTACTAACTAACTAACTAACTAACTAACTAACTAACTAACTAACTAACTACTAACTAACTACTAACTAACTAAACTACCTAACTAACTAACTAACTAACTACTAACTAACTAACTAACTAACTAACTACCTAACTAACTAACTAACTAACTAACTAACTACTAACTAACTAACTAACTAACTAACTACTAACTACTAACTAACTAACTACTAACTAACTAACTAACTAACTAACTACCTAACTAACTAACTAACTAACTAACTACTAACTAACTAACTAACTAACTAACTAAGTACTAACTAAGTAACTAACTAAGTAACTAACTAACTAACTACTAACTACTAACTAACTAACTAACTACTAACTAACTAACTAACTAACTAACTACTAACTAACTAACTAACTAACTAACTAACTAACTAACTAACTAACTAACTAACTAACTAACTAACTAACTAACTAACTAACTAACTAACTAACTAACTAACTAACTACTACTAACTAACTAACTAACTAACTAATTAACTAACTAACTAACTAACTAACTAACTAACTAACTAACTACTAACTAACTAACTAACTAACTAAACTAACTAACTACTAACTAACTAACTAACTAACTAACTAACTAACTAACTAACTAACTAACTTAGTTAGTTAGTTAGTTACTAACTAACTAACTAACTACTAACTAACTAACTAACTAACTAACTAACTACTAACTAACTAACTACTAACTAACTAACTAACTAACTAACTAACTAAGTAGCTAACTAAGTAACTAACTAAGTAACTAACTAACTACCTAACTAACTAACTAACTAACTAACTAACTAACTAACTAACTAACTAAGTAGCTAACTAAGTAACTAACTAAGTAACTAACTAACTAACTAACTAACTAACTAACTAACTAACTAACTAACTAACTAACTAACTAACTAACTAACTAACTAACTAACTAACTAACTAACTAACTAACTAACTAACTAACTAACTAACTAACTAACTAACTAACTAACTAACTAACTAACTAACTAACTAACTAACTAACTAACTAACTAACTAACTAATTAACTAACTAACTAACTAACTAACTAACTAACTAACTAATTAACTAACTAACTAACTAACTTACTAGCTAACGACCTATTATGTCGAAAGCATGTCTGGCAGAATTCTTGAAGATGTCTCGGGTCTTCAGAAAATTGATTACGACAATTACACAGATAGACAGACAATCAGGCGGACGCACAGACAGACGGACATAGCTTAATCAACTCCGCTATGTCGGAATGTATATAGTTTATAGGGTCGGAAATTTATATTATAGAAACTAAAAACGGAATGACAAACTTATATTTAAACATACATATGTATGTCCTGCTCACGAGGGTGAAGAGTATAAAAAAACAAGTACATATTCATACTCATAAAAACTTTTTGAAATTTTATTGATTTTTCTTTAACACTACATCATGCTTATTTATAAAATATGTATGTTTACTCTAGAACTCTTCAAGTGTAAATTACAGTTCCAGAAAAAAAGGATAAAATTTGCAAAACAGAAAGTCCTTTAAGGTTGAAATTTAATATCAAAAGTAAACAATATTTAAACGTTACTACTTGTGCATAGATATTGGAAAAAGAATTTACCTAAAAAATATTTTTTTAAAAAACTATTATTTAGTTTTGGTAAATGTTTGTAATTTAATAAACAAACTATGCTACAATAGGTAACTGTTCTATGCCGGTCAATAAGAAACATAAATACCCTTCACCTATAAGTTAGTTTTCTATTAACACTTCGAATACCCAGAAAAAACTTTACTTAAACGGTAAGCAGGCAGGTATTTGGAATAGTTTTTATATAAAAGTATATATCAGTGTTTTCATAACTACTGACCACTAACTTCTTGTTTGTTATACAGTTATACAGACAGTTCTGCAGAAAGTCCATCTCCTGAGATGAGATGGAGACAGCTGTCTGCAGAAAACTTCTTATTACTGCCCCACAGGAGAAAACAGAGGTTATTAGGTATTGGTGGGATGGGAGTAGTTCTTTATTATTGCTTCATGAGCCCACCTGATATGGGTGTCCAAATCCGGCCCTCATGGGTCCATACACATAAGACTTTGCAAAAACATGGTAATGACTTGTGCTTACTCAAAAACTTACTTTTCAATGACTACTACATACAGTCTGCATTACTTAGAAAGAGTCTAGTAATGACTTTTAAATAACTATAAACGTAAGTACTTACTTTTTAGTCTTGAAATTTTGTTAGAGAATATTGTTTTTTTACAAAAAATTAAGAATTTTTTTTATCTAAAATCAAAAAACTTTTCTTACTCCTTATTTGCAATCGATCTTATCTAACTCCCCACTTGTAAGCCAGCGTGGTAAGTACTTGCCTCCAACCGCATGGAGCCAAATATGCAACAAAAATATACTGTTATGTGCAACAAATGCAACATAATGTGAAACATGCAAAAATATGCCTTAAATAGCCAAATGTGTAGTAACAAATCGTTGCCAAAATTCATTAAAATGTCTGAAGTGTCCATAAACATATCCTTATACAGAAACTTACCCTTATCACGAAATTAAAAGGTAAAAAAATCTTATTTGAAAAAAAATGAAACTGAAACCACCATTCAGTTTTTTAAACCAGGGTTTTTAATAGTTCATACTTTACAACGTTTATTATCATATTTACTTACGACTTTAAATTTCATATTTTTATGATGTTGAAAAACTATAACGTATTTAGTTGATAATTCCTTTACTTTTAGGAATAACTTCATAAAATATGCAGATAATTACAGCTATTAAATGTGCGTTTTTAATGCTAAAGTTATTTTACTTAATTAATTTAATCGTCTTTACTACTTTACTTATATTCGTGCATAACAATAGAATGAACTCTATTGTTTTTAATATCTTTAAAAGCTTCAAAGAAATTATGTCCCATAATAATAACACACAAACTACAGTTGCGATCATAAAATTTGTAACTTATGTAAAAATGCTAAAAATTTTAAAAAATTAAAATTAAAAAAATCCAACAAACCAAGAAATTTGTTAGTTAAAAAAGTATTCCATGAACTCGTTATTTCTTAAAAGTTGTAAATAGACATTATTTCCTTTCTATGTATGTGTGGCGTTCTCAACAAGCATTCACTAAACTTGTTCTAGTTCATACATGTTTATGCTTAAAAATACATTTTATTACTTTTATTAAAAAAGTTTTTGTAAACTAATGTTAATGAAATTCAACATAATTTAAGGTATTTTACTACAAAAAACTCACGAAAAACGTTTATTTTGCTTATAGTTTTGGGAACTATTAAAAACTTTAACTGTTCTATGCATTTAATTTAATAAATTTGTTTTAACTTAATTATACAGAAAAATGTTTTTATTTATGAAAAACATTCTAAACTATAATATTTATATTATTTAAAAAAAAGAACCAACAAAATATAATTATGTAATGATTATAAGTGGAACCCTTTAATGCCAAAAAAAAGGAAACATGTTTAAACGTCAAAGTTCAAAATAGTCCAACCGCTAATATTTTCTCGAAATAATCTCTTTTTTATGGGAACCAAAAAAGTTATAACTTTCTCAGTTTCATATCTTGCAAACCGTTCTTCATCTTTAAAATGAAAATCGCAAAAAACTTTAAAAAATTAAATTTTTTAGCTTTTTTCCCCTAATATACTTCTATACGTATACTTAATATTTGTAATATGTATAAATCATTAACACGTATACGTACAAGTGTGCAGTGCAATTGCACAATGTAAAACTTTTCACTTTAAATGAAACAATTAAGATGTAGTTATACCCTACACCACTTTAGTGGGGAGGATATATTGGATTTGTGCTGATGTTTGTAACATACAAAAATATTCGTCCTAGGCCTTAAAGTATCCAATCGGCTTAGAATCGTTTTCTGAGTCGATTAAGCTATGTCCGTCCGTCTGGATGGCTGTCTGTCCATGTAAACCTTGTGCGCAAGGTACAGGTCGCAATTTTCAAGATAATTGGATGAAATTTGGCACGCATGTTTTATTTGACCCAAAGACGAAGCCTATTGAAAATCGGTCCATTATTTCACCTAGCCCCCATAGAACAGAACTCCCCGAAAAGGGCTTCTGAGCTCATAATTATGTTAAATATACAGATATATCAATAAAATACGGCACAACTAAGTTTTATAGAAGTCTTGATGATCCTGCCAAATTTCATAAAGATCGGGCCCCATTTGACCCAAGCTCCCATACAAAGTCCCCTTCAGAAAATTTCTTGAATGTCCCAAACTAACTTATAAACACAAATATAGCGATGAAATTCAGCACAATAAAATATTATGTAAATATAAATATATATAAAGCCTCTTTCAGAAAATTTGTTTTTCATCCATAAATTGCTTTACTACTTTGCCTCAGAGAGTAAATCAAAATTTTGAACGGTTTGCTAGATATAAGCCTGAGAAACTGATAAGTTTTTTGCAAAAATGAATTCCTCAATTTCTCCATCACATCTATGATTTGATATATCGTGTAATAAGGTTTGAAAAAAAAAGCAATTTTTTAGCCTTTTTGAGACATTATATCGTTATAACAACTTTATTTATAAATTCCGCCAACTTTAAAATAGAGTCTTAACATCTGACATATCTTCTCTCTTAATGGAGTTATCTTGCTGGATATAACAATAAATTGACAAAAACTATATTTTTCTTACATTTTGTCTATATTTTGCAAAAAAAACTTATACATTTAAATTTTTCCTATGAAAACACATTTTGAATTGTTTAAAAATTTGCTGTAGTTTCTGAGATATCATCCGTTAAAGTTGACGGACGGACAGACATTGTTAAGTCGAATCAACAAGTGATTTGGAGTCAATTGGAACACCCATAGATAGGTGTGAATGCAATATTTTTGTTCGTTATAAACAATATATACAAAGCATAATACCCCCTGAACTATAGTAGTGTAGGGTATAAATACCATGAATATAGCGCACACCATGAGTTTTAAAGATTTAAGTGAAGATATCTCGAATAATAAAGAAGATAAGTCACATGTTAGGACTTTATTTTAAAGTTGACAGAATGGACATTCAGATGACATACAATATTTTATAAATAAAGTTGTCTTGGCGCTGTTATAACATCTCAAAATGGGCCAAAACTGGCCTTTTTTTTAAATTTCAGGACATGATATCTCAAATCCTAGATATGAAGGTTAAAATCTAAGGTCATATTCGGATTCAGCACGGCTCAATCCTTTCGAAACTTTTCAGGGTTTCGACTTTTTCAAATTTTGTCGGCCGGTCTAATCTGTATGGAAACTGTGGTATCTTTAGATGGTAATAATTCACGGACCTTGAATAAATTGAAATTTTTGGGATTGCGAAACATACCGGGTACAGCATTTCATTTTTAGCTGTAACTTAAATTTCTACAATATAATTTTCCGACCCCATAAAGTGTAATATATTCTCGATTCTTATAAAGAGTGGAATCGATTAAGCTATATATGTCTGTTTGTCTTCGGTATTCAAATCTTCAATAATTCTATCAGACATGATTTCGAGAAGACAAATTTTGGTACTTTTTTGTTCTTTATCTTTATAAAATTTAGAACATATAATGCAGGACTTTTTGGTACTATTATTTTCTTCAAAAGGTACTTTTTGAATGTTTTTAATATTGAATCTAGGGACGCAAAATTAAACACTATTCTGGTACTTTTTCATCATTCAAATTATACTTTGTTGGTTTTTTGAACTTAGAAACATAAAATCATACATATAGGATCCTGATAGAAAGGACATTTATAAGACTAAATTTTTGTACGATTTTTTTGTTCAATTGGTACTCTTTGAATCTTTTTATACCCTACAACACTATAGTGGGGAGGGTATTATACGTTTGTGCTGATGTTTGTAAAGTATACCGATCGATTCAGAATCACTTTTTGAGTCGATTAAGACAAGTCCGTCCGTTCGGCTGGCTGTAAACCTTGTGCGCAAGGTACAGGACGCAATTTTCAAGATAATTTGATGAAATTTGGACCAAACATGTTTTTTGGCACAGGGACGAAGCCTATTGAAAATGGTTGAAATCGGTCCATTATTTCACCTAGCCCCCATACAACCGTACCTCCCGATTTGGGCTTTTTATGCCGTAATTACGTCAAATATACTATTATCTCTCTAAAAATTGGCACAAATATATTTTATATAAGTATAAATGACACTGCAGATTTTCGTAATGATCGGCCCTTATTTGACCCTAGCCCCCACACAAACCCCCCTTCAAAAAATGTCTTAAACGTCTAAAATTGACTTGTAACCATTTGTATCGCAATGAAACTCAACATAACTAACTGTTATTTAAAAATATATCCTTTTCCCAAATTGAATGAGTATCGGCCCATGTTTGACCTATACTCCTAAATAATTAAATATTTATATTTAGAAAATTAGTTTTTTTATCAATAAATTGCTTAAATACTTTGGAATTAAGGTAAAATTCAACATAAAAGTTTCTTTATGAAAAATAAATTTTTTTAAAATATACTCATGGTGTAGGGTATTATATGGTCGGCCATGCCCGACTATACTTTCCTACTTGTTTAATATTAAACCTAGAAACATAGAATTAAACACGCAGCGTCCAGACTGAATGAAAACCTATCAAAGTGAACTTTCTGGTACTTTTTCGTGTTCCAACTGGTATTTTTTATTTTTGTAATAAAATATGTACGTTTCTAAATGAACCTTTAATCTAAATTATGTCAATGTCATAAAACTTACCCTTTTTAAACCATACAGCAATATTATCGATGAGGCTACTAGTCCCATCGAACATATAAAGACTATTATGTTAAATATCACATGAGCTATAGAAAAATAAAAAAATATTTATTATTAATTTATTAACACAGAAAACATAAAAAATCACAACATTATGTCCGTAAAAAAAAGTAAAATATATAATAAACTAAATAAGAATGAAATAAATGTCCCTTACTTTCTGTTATATCGCCCTTTTCAATAATGGTCTCTCCTTTGGGTGTGTGACGACGGCCCACCAAATAATCCCACTCATCTTTTACATAAATGAGCAATATTAAGCTGGAGAAGGCAAAATATATCTGTAATGAAAAATAAATAATTGTGGAAATTTATTGGTGTTTATGTATATGGGGACAAGGAAAAATAAGAAGATGATGACGATGATGATCATGATGATGCTTATGGACTTTATTAATGAAAACGTATTAAGGTACTAAGGTTTGTGTGGGAAATATAGAGATTTTCAATGAATAAGAAAGTACTTAATGCAGACATACATACATACATATGTATGTATTTATGTATTAATATTAATGACACATCTTTATGGATTTATTACAAATATTTATGTAAATTGAATGGCTATTTGTGATAAAATTGTTTATATTTATGCAAATTTTAGGAAAATTATTTACGCAAATATTATTAGAGCTACATTGTAGAATAGTTTTCAAACAATGTTATTAATTAAACAAAAATACCTATAAATTGTTATATATCATTAAATTGAGCCATTTAACTTATGCCACAATTTATTAAAATCATTTATTAAATATGTAAATTACATTTTTATATTTATAATCCCAACACTTCAATAAGTTTGTAAATCAGTTTGTAGCACTTCGAAATGTTCTTATATTATGTGTCTTTATATAATTCTAAAATAATCTAGCCGTCTGTAAAACTGTTTGAAAGGCACAAACAGAAAGAACTAGCAGGATTCTTAATTCCTTATTCTTATTCTTTATACAAGGTCTGGTTCACAAAATGACTTACACAAAAAACTGGTCTATACTCAATTCTATAGGCTGATCTTTAGTCAAGGCTATAGACTGATCTACAGTCACAGCAATAGAATGAACTATAGTAAAGACTATAGACTGATCTATAGTCAAGACTATAGACTGATCTATAGTCATGACTATAGACTGATCTATAGTCAAGATTATAGACTGATCTATAGTCAAGATTATAGACTGATCTATAGTTAAGTCTATAGACTGATCTATAGTTAAGACTATAAACTGATCTGAACTATAAGACTATAGACTGAACTATAGTCAAGACTCCAGACTGCACTATAGTTAATACTATAGACTGATATATAGTCAAGACGATAGACTGATATATAGTGAAAACTATAGACTGGGGTATAGTCAAGACTATAGACTGAAATATAGTCAGTACTATAGACAGGTCTACAGTCAAAACTATAATCTAGTACATAGTCAAGACTACAGACTGACCTATAGTCAAGACTACAGACTGATCTATAGTCAAGACTACAGACTGATCTATGGTCAAGACTATAGACTGATCTATAGTCGAGACTATAGACTGATCTATAGTCAAGACTATAGACTGATCTATAGTCAAGACTGTAGACTGATCGATAGTCAAGACTATAGACTGATCTATAGTCAAGATTATAGACTGATCTATAGTCAAGATTATGGGCTGATCTATATTCAAGGCAATAGACCGAACTATAGTCAAGACTATAGACAGGACAATAGTCAAGACCATAAACTGAACTATAGACAATAGTATAAACTGGTCCATAGTCAAAACTAAAGACTGGTCTATAGTCAAAACTATAGACTGAAAAATAGTCAATACTATAGATAGGTATATAGTCATTACTATAGACAGGTCTATAGTAAAAACTATAATCTAGTCTATAGTCAAGTCTATAGACTGATCTATAGTCAAGACTATAGACTGAGCTATAGTCAAGCCTATAGACTGAACTATAGTCAAGACTATAGACTGAATTATAGTCAATACGATTGGTATATAGTCAAATCTACATATATCTACACAGTGGTCTATAGTCAAGACTATAGACTGATCTATAGAGAAGACTATATACTGAACTATAGTCAAGACTTTGTGCTAAACTAATGTTAAGGCTATAAACCGATCTATAATCAAGACTATAGACTGAACTATAGTTAATACTATACCCTGGTATATAGTCCAAACTATACACTTGACTATAGTTAATTCTTGACTATAGACTAGTTTATAGTCAAGACTATAGACTGAAACTGTTCTGTTATAGACTGGTCTGTAATCGAAACTATAAACTGGACTATAGTCATTTCGATATAGTCGATAAGTGAAGACAATAGACCGATCTTTAGTCTACACTATAGACTGATCTATAGTCTACACTATAAAGTGATCTATAGTCTACACTATAGACTGATCTACACTATAGTCAAGACTATAGTCTATAGTCTAAAATTATACAAATCAAATTAATGTGTAAAATGTAAAACTAAATTCCAACAGATTCGGTGTTTAATTAGCCTCAGTTTATATACTGGGCCACTTTTCGGTATTCGTTTTAAATTTATAATGTATGTAAAATAAAACCTGGTTAAAGTTAATTCAGATAATAATTATGTATGTATATTTCTTGTATACATAATTAGGAAAAAACAAATATTTCCCTAATTAAACTCTAATTTACCAGAACATTTAAATGGAAAATATAAATATTTCAGTTTATCAAAACAAAAATTATTATATTTTATAGAAAACTAAAACTTATTCGAAAAAAAAAACCTATAAAATACTGATAGAAACATTTTTTTGTTACATAAACACATCATAAAAGGTTTCATTGCTGAAACGTGTTTGGTTTTACAGCAAAAAAAAAAAATGAAATTGTATATTGATAGTAAAACAAGATTAAAAAAAGTTTTTGCCAACCTTTAATAAAAATAAACTATAACAAGTGCCTGAATTATATTCAACTGTATTGAATCATATAAAAACATCTCACTTTAATAGTATGTATATCAGAACAGCAACTTTTTTATACTTAATTTGATGCAACATTTCTTGGCAGTTCAACACTATCGGTCACATAGTTCAAACATTAAGGGGAATATTCGGACCAATGGGGATTAATGCTCTTGAATTATGGATGGATATCTCGTTACTTGATCATAATTTGACCATCGTCAGAGCTCTTGCTATCCTTAAGTTAGAACCAGAATCTATCAATAAAGTCTTTGAAAATTGGATCAACAGGAAGCTACTGGGCATAACCCAGTAAAAAGATTGTTAACTGAAATTAACACTCAGTCTCAGTTAATAACAAAGTTTTCACATAAAAAACAACAGTAAAAACATAAATTGCTTTTGACCACAGAAATTTACTCACGTATATTATTTCACAAATAAAAATGTTTGCATGAAGACACGCTTTAATACATAAAATGCTATATAAGTATATGTGTATATTCATATATGAATTTTCGATGTGCGTAACGAAATAGCAAACCACATTAAAATCGTGGTTTATTGCGCAAAACCATCAAAGTTTTCCGATAGTGAATTGAAATGACAAAAATCAATCAAACTATTTGTGTTAAAAGGATATTCATATATATTAGTGTGGTGCCGTTTGTTTGAGGAAAAACTAAAATACTGATGTTCCCAAAAAATTAACAATTATTAATACTAGGTTCAATATTAAGGTATATCCAGTTTTTTCCATATTTCACACAAATTCATATTATGAAAGTTTGATGTCTAGTGATAGGTTTTTGAGAGGCACTCAATGACGTATTAGAAATATAAAAGTCAAGACAAAAATTTAGAGAAATAGCATGATAGAATGAACTATGTTTTCATTTTCGGCGGAAACTTCAGTAACTTCCATTTTGTGGCCAGCTTAATACATAAAATAAACTATTATAAAACGGAAACTATAAATAAATTTTATGGTTATACAAAATATGTTTCCAATACGCAGTTTATCACAGTCATGGAAAATTTAGTACTTTAGTACTTTTGATATCGTGAAATAGTGCGGACATTTTCGGTACATTTGATAACTTATAGTCTAGTCTACAGTCTAGTCCTAGTCTAGTTCTATAGTCTAGTCTATAGTCTAGTCTATAGTCTAGTCTATAGTCTAGTCTATAGTCTAGTCTATAGTCTAGTCTATAGTCTAGTCTATAGTCTAGTCTATAGTCCTAGTCTATAGTCTAGTCTATAGTCCTAGTCTATAGTCTAGTCTATAGTCTAGTCTATAGTCTAGTCTATAGTCTAGTCTATAGTCTAGTCTAGAGTCTAGTCTAGTCTACTATAGTCTAGTCTATAGTCTAGTCTATAGTCTAGTCTATAGTCTAGTCTAGTCTATAGTCTAGTCTACAGTCTAGTCTACAGTCTAGTCTATAGTCTAGTCTACAGTCTAGTCTACAGTCTAGTCTATAGTCTTGTCTATAGTCTAGTCTATAGTCTAGTCTATAGTCTAGTCTATAGTCTAGTCTATAGTCTAGTCTATAGTCCAGTCTATAGTCTAGTCTATAGTCTAGTCTATAGTCTAGTCTATAGTCTAGTCTATAGTCTAGTCTATAGTCCAGTCTATAGTCTAGTCTATAGTCTAGTCTATAGTCTAGTCTATAGTCTAGTCTATAGTCTAGTCTATAGTCTAGTCTATAGTCTATAGTCTAGTCTATAGTCTAGTCTATAGTCTAATCTATAGTCTAGTCTAGTCTATAGTCTAGTCTAGTCTATAGTCTATAGTCTAGTCTAGTCTATAGTCTAGTCTAGTCTATAGTCTAGTCTATAGTCTAGTCTATAGTCTAGTCTATAGTCTAGTCTAGTCTAGTCTATAGTCTAGTCTAGTCTATAGTCTAGTCTAGTCTATAGTCTAGTCTAGTCTATAGTCTAGTCTATAGTCTAGTCTATAGTCTAGTCTATAGTCTAGTCTATAGTCTAGTCTATAGTCTAGTCTATAGTCTAGTCTATAGTCTAGTCTATAGTCTAGTCTATAGTCTAGTCTATAGTCTAGTCTATAGTCTAGTCTATAGTCTAGTCTATAGTCTAGTCTATAGTCTAGTCTATAGTCTAGTCTATAGTCTAGTCTAGTCTATAGTCTAGTCTATAGTCTAGTCTAGTCTATAGTCTAGTCTATAGTCTAGTCTAGTCTATAGTCTAGTCTATAGTCTAGTCTATAGTCTAGTCTATAGTCTAGTCTATAGTCTAGTCTATAGCTAGTCTATAGTCTAGTCTATAGTCTAGTCTATAGTCTAGTCTATAGTCTAGTCTATAGTCTAGTCTATAGTCTAGTCTATAGTCTAGTCTATAGTCTAGTCTATAGTCTAGTCTATAGTCTAGTCTATAGTCTAGTCTATAGTCTAGTCTATAGTCTAGTCTATAGTCTAGTCTATAGTCTAGTCTATAGTCTAGTCTATAGTCTAGTCTATAGTCTAGTCTAGTCTAGTCTATATAGTCTAGTCTATAGTCTAGTCTATAGTCTAGTCTATAGTCTAGTCTATAGTCTAGTCTATAGTCTAGTCTATAGTCTAGTCTATAGTCTAGTCTATAGTCTAGTCTATAGTCTAGTCTAGTCTAGTCTATAGTCTAGTCTATAGTCTAGTCTATAGTCTAGTCTATAGTCTAGTCTATAGTCTAGTCTATAGTCTAGTCTATAGTCTAGTCTATAGTCTAGTCTATAGTCTAGTCTATAGTCTAGTCTATAGTCTAGTCTATAGTCTAGTCTATAGTCTAGTCTATAGTCTAGTCTATAGTCTAGTCTATAGTCTAGTCTATAGTCTAGTCTATAGTCTAGTCTATAGTCTATAGTCTAGTCTATAGTCTAGTCTATAGTCTAGTCTATAGTCTAGTCTATAGTCTAGTCTATAGTCTAGTCTATAGTCTAGTCTATAGTCTAGTCTATAGTCTAGTCTATAGTCTAGTCTATAGTCTAGTCTATAGTCTAGTCTATAGTCTAGTCTATAGTCTAGTCTATAGTCTAGTCTATAGTCTAGTCTATAGTCTAGTCTATAGTCTAGTCTATAGTCTAGTCTATAGTCTAGTCTATAGTCTAGTCTATAGTCTAGTCTATAGTCTAGTCTATAGTCTAGTCTATAGTCTAGTCTATAGTCTAGTCTATAGTCTAGTCTATAGTCTAGTCTAGTCTATAGTCTAGTCTATAGTCTAGTCTATAGTCTAGTCTATAGTCTAGTCTATAGTCTAGTCTATAGTCTAGTCTATAGTCTAGTCTATAGTCTAGTCTATAGTCTAGTCTATAGTCTAGTCTAGTCTATAGTCTAGTCTATAGTCTAGTCTATAGTCTAGTCTATAGTCTAGTCTATAGTCTAGTCTATAGTCTAGTCTATAGTCTAGTCTATAGTCTATATGTAGCAAACTCAATAAATCCTCCATTTAATTTAATTGCTGTTATAAAAAATAAGAAAATATTTTATAACAATTGCACTTACCATCGTATAAATGGCACAGGCAACACTTCCATTCCAGACATTCTTGAAAAAGCAACAGGATTTCATAATGACCATTTTAACTTAAAATTTTTTCTCAATTATTTACATCATTAATTCCACACAAAAACACTTACTAGGCAACAGATTAATAAATATATTTACATTTTTTCTCAGAATATTTATTTTTTTATCTTTGTTGTTATTCCTTTTTAACACTTTTTTTCTTGAGTATTTTCGTTTCAATTTTTAATTAATTTCATGAAAAAACAAAAAATTTGCATTTGTTGACATTGTATCCATTTATACAGGTGTGTGTGTGTGTGTGTAATTATAATACTAACACTTATATCTGCGAACGATAAGCATTAGTTGGAAGTATTAATTTTTATTTCCGCCGTAAATATTTCTACTTCCGTTTAGCATAAACACGTTTACTTAAGTTTAATATTTATATCCGTTATTCAGATTCTTTAGATGCTGAAAACTCCGCGGTTTAAATAGTACTAACTGCTTTTAATTGTAATAAGTTAAAGTAAAGTATCTTTCTGTCATGAGCTGCATATGGCGGTTGCGAGAATTTATGAATGAAAAGCTTAGCGCATGCTAACTAGAAAAGCTTTTTTGCTTCGTGTTTCGAAATTCGTATATTCCCGGCTTTTTTGACCCAAATGTTTGTTTTGCGCGTAAACACCGCAAATGTTGCGTTAAAAAACTACTTTATTATTTATAAACCACTACTAAATACTACGAATACTTAGAGGGATTATAAGGGTTTTCAGAACCTGGTTTTTATTATCAAAAAATTCGATATTATAAATTTTTCATATTTTTTATAGAAAAATTTCGATATTATTTTTTCTATAGAAAAATTGTTTTTCTATAGAAATTTCGACATTACAGTTTTTTCTATAGAAAAGTTCGATATTATAGTTTTTTCTATAGAAAAATGTTGATTTTGTAAGTTTTCTATAGAAAAATTTCGATATTTAAATTTTTTGGAAAAAAAATTTCGTATTTTAAATTTTTTGAGAGAAAAATTTCGTATTTTAAATCTTTGAGAGACAAATTTCGTATTTTAAACTTTTCTATAGACAAATTTCGATATTGTAATTTTTTTTATAGAAAAATTTCGATATTGTAATTTTTTCTATAGAAAAATCTCGATATTGTAATTTTTTCTATAGAAAAATCTCGATATTGTAATTTTTTCTATAGAAAAATTTCCATATTATAATTTTTTCTATAGAAAAATTTCGATATTGTAATTTTTTTCTATAGAAAAATTTTGATATTGTAATTTTTTTCTATAGAAAAATTTTGATATTGTAATTTTTTTCTATAGAAAAATTTTGATATTGTAATTTTTTTCTATAGAAAAATTTCGATATTGTAATTTTTTTCTATAGAAAAATTTCGATATTGTAATTTTTTTTCTATAGAAAAATTTCGATATTGTAATTTTTTTTCTATAGAAAAATTTCGATATTGTAATTTTTTCTATAGAAAAATTTCGATATTGTAATTTTTTTCTATTGAAAAATTTCGATATTGTAATTTTTTTCTATAGAAAAATTTCGATATTGTAATTTTTTCTATAGAAAAATTTCAATATTGTAATTTTTTCTATAGAAAAATTTCGATATTGTAATTTATTCTATAGAAAAATTTCGATATTGTAATTTTTTCTATAGAAAAATTTCGATATTTAAAATTTTTCTATTGAAAAATTTCGATATTTTAAATTTTTCTATTGAAATTTCGATATTTTAAATTTTTCTATTGAAAAATTTTCATATTTTAAATTTTTCTATTGAAAAATTTCCATATTTTAAATTTTTCTATTGAAAAATTTCCATATTTTAAATTTTTCTATTGAAAAATTTCCATATTTTAAATTTTCTATTGAAAAATTTCCATATTTTAAATTTTTCTATTGAAAAATTTCCATATTTTAAATTTTTCTATTGAAAAATTTCCATATTTTAAATTCTTCTATAGAAAAATCTCGATATTTTAAATTTTTCTATAGAAAAATCTCGATATTGTAATTTTTTCTAAAGAAAAATTTAGATATTTTAACTTTTTCTATAGAAAAATTTAGATATTTTAACTTTTCTATAGAAAAATTTAGATATTGTAATTCTTTCTATAGAAAAATTTCGATGTTGTAATTTTTTCTATAGAAAAATTTCGATATTGTAATTTTTTTAATAAAAATATTTAAAAAAATTTATAGAAAAGTTTAGCTATTGAAATTAAAAAAAAAATCTGTATTTCTTATCTAATTCAATTCAATTTGTTTATAAAAAATCAATATTACCCACCGTACAAACTAACATTTCCACAACATCATAATGACTAGCAAATTATTAACTGGGTATGCAAAAAATACTCCAGATCTGGCATCGCCAATTTAATAATTAAAAACAAGCAGCTGTTTAAAACTTTCAACTTTCTAAAAGAAGACAAAAAATGTTAGTAATACAACTACTACCTACCACAAATTAGACAAACAACATATTTATTACACACGGTAACGTATATCGACGACTAAATTATAAAATTAGCACAGCGTCACCATCACACCACAATATTTTAACGATATTAATTGAATATTGAAAGGGTGAAAGGTCGTTTCGGAAGAAGATAAGCAGTACAATGATGAAAGAGGCTTTTGTTAATATCTGTAATGTACCAACACATATTTTTACATGGGGCGGCTGGATCGAAGAGTCGATGGAAGATGTTAAGGAAGTGGCCATTTGTATAACGGGGAATCCGGGCTTGCCGGGATTTTATACAGAATTTTGTGGAGAATTGCACAAGAGATTGGATGAGAAAATGCCCGTGTGGGTGATTGGTGAGTAAAGATGTTGTTTAAAGATAACAAGTAAAACATGTTAAAATGATTTTGTTTTTTAATATTGTAGGACATTTGGGCCACGATGATCCTCCAGAATCAAGCTTAAGAGAAGTTCCCCAATTAAAGGGTAATGAGGAAATCTTCGATTTGGAGGGACAAATACGCCACAAAATAGAATTCATTGAAAAATATGTACCTTCCGGTGTTAAGATTCACCTAATGGGTCACTCTATTGGCGCCTGGATGATTTTACAGATGCTGCAAAATGATTCAGTGCGTAAACGTGTCAAGAAATGTTATTTACTCTTTCCCACCGTTGAACGTATGATTGAATCATCCAACGGCTGGATATTCACTAAAATCGCCTTGCCATTATATTCCGTTTTCGGTTTCCTAATCACTTTATTCAATCGCTTGCCCGAATTACTCAGAATATTTCTAATACAAATCTATTTTTGGTTTTCCAATATACCCAACTATTTCATTGGCACCGCTTTGAAATACACCAAGGCTTCGGTTTGTGAAAAGGTAGTTTTTCTGGCGGAAGATGAAATGGCTCGCGTCAGAGGCTTACAAAAGGATATAGTACGCGCCTATTTGGATTTGTTGAAATTCTATTATGGCACCACAGATGGCTGGGTGCCGGTTAAGTACTACAATCAAATTAAAGAACAATTTCCCGATATTGATGCCGTATTGGATACTAAGAAAATTGATCATGCTTTTGTTCTGCGCCACTCTAAGCCCATGGCCTCTATAGTGGGCGATATGATTATAGAAAATTCCGAAATTTTAGGTTCCAAAAAGAATCTTTAATCAGCCATTTGATCTCTTTTGTATTATTTTCATTTGTATGTTGGATTACAAAATCATAATTATTTATAAAAAAAAAGCATTTAAATAAAGTAAACGAATATATTCATAATAAAGTGAAATGAAAGATCGTATGTTTTTTGCAGAAGAGTATATATAATATGGTAATCCCAAAAATCTTCTTATCTATTTAAATACATAAATAATTTAGTACTTTAATACAAAGTTTATAATTGCATTAAGCACAATTTCAAATGGGTATTTTTAATCAATGCATATTGATAAATTTTGCACTTTAGCCTCATAAATTATTTTAATTTGAACAATTTTTTATTGTGAAATTATTGCAATATTAAGCAGTCATTTTTTATCTTTCATGTTTGTAATATAGTTTTTTCTTAAAGCTTTAAAAAAATCTATACTAAATAATTGATTCTTGCCTATTTCCCAAAAAAAGTTAATATTTGGTTATTTGAATCAATCCGACTATATATGAATCATTACTTTATATGGACCAATTCAATTTTTCTTCGTGTCGATTGAAATCTATTCAGATCGATATGACACTCAATAAATATTATCTACTGAACTTCAATGTACTATCACAAGAAAATGTAAAGTCTCGAGTGGTCTATTCGACTTCATCAGGATAGATTCAAATCATTCCGGTATCATAGATTAGACATGAAAAATATAAATTTTTAAATAGTACTAACTTTTATCAAAATAATACACTATATGAATCAAAAGTACTTAATAAATGTAATTCATTGACTAGTTTACCAACTAATTTATCTATGGACTAATATTTGGATTAATTTATGGACTTGTATAGGGCTAATAAATAAACAAGTTTACTGACTGCTTAATAACTACTCAATGAACTAATTTATTGACTAGTCTTTGAACTGTTCTATAGACTAGTGAACCTAGTGAATGGAATAATCTATGGACTAGTCAACTAACAGTTATATGAACTAGTTTATGAACTTGTCTATGAACTAGTCTACGTACTTAATATGTCGTGGTGTAATGCTATATGAGAAAGTACAATATTCCTGAGTTTTCCATGCCTGGCATCGATAACGATTGGAATCTTTTAAGCAAAACTCAGCTCTACTATGGAAATAAGATGTTTGTTTCGATTAGAAGAACAGAAATATCTATTATTATTATTACCAATTATATACCCAAATAAAATGGACAATACAATTCGCTTAGGCAATTCAAATAGAGTGAAATAATCCAGGAAAAACAATTCATTGTAGTAAAAGTTTCTTTCCAATCAAATGTTAAACATTAACAAAGATAAAATAAAGTTTTTGTTAAAAAATCATTAGACTCCATAATTAAATCACAAATTAAAAGAAAACAACTCAAAATAGCATTAATTTTAATATAAACAAATAAAAAACAAAAAATATAAACAAAAATAAAACTTGACAGTTGACAAATCAGCTGTGTGGCAATGAAGTTATTTCAGCGATTTTGTTTACTGTTAGCGATTTTAAAATCCACTTAAAGAAAATCTACTTGGTTTTAAGTTAAAACCA